AAGGCCAGGCACAGTGGCTCATGCCTGCAATCCCAGCACTTTGGCTAGGCTGAAGCAAGAGGATTGCTTGAGCTCAAGAATTCAAAACCAGCCTGGGCAACATAGCAAGACTCCATCTTTACTAAAAATAAAACATAAAAAAAATTGGCAAGGCATGGTAGCACATGCATGCCTGTAGTTCCAGCTACTTGGGAGGCTGAGGAGGGAGGATCACTTGAGCCCAGGAGTTCGAGGCTGCGCCACTGCACTCCAGCCTGGGGAACACAGAGATATCCTGTCTCCAGAAAAACACAAAAAGCAAAGTAGAAATCATGTGCCCTGGGACATCGAGTCAGCTCGAAAATAAGTGCACTAGCCAAAACTTCAAGGAGAAGGTAACATTTGATGTGAGACTTAAAGGATGGACTGTATTTCAACATGGGACATGGGAAATATTGTAAGCAAAGGAATTCGAATTCAAGCTCATATCTAATTCCAAAGCTATACTACCCCACCCCACAGGGTGGCTTGAACAAAGTACCTTACACAAAACAGAAGGGCAAACACTGGGGCCAGATCACAGAAGGTTAAGGATATCACACTAAAGAATATTCAGCAGATAAAAGCTAAGCAGAGTAATAAGACTCCAGTGAGATCAGAGCTGTGCTTCTGTTTAAATGCATGATTGCATAGTACTTCCTGAGTATTTTCTGGGGTACCAAATTTTGTAACACAAGATCTTAAGTTACCTGTTGTATTCCTGTCTCTCTAATCAACCCTAGATGAGCTCAGTGTAATTGTATGCAGCTAATGCTACTAACAAATTTAAAATATTTAATCTGTAACCCAAACCCCTAACTATATTGTCCATCAACTATGAGGCCTTTTGTCTTACTCTATACTTAATTAGGTGATTTCATTTTAAATCACCTCTCAGTGACTGTCTGTTGAAGAACAAAGGACTGAAGAAATATGTCAAGCTTCTTAAATGTAACTCACAAAATGGTAGCCAGAATTGATTATTAAAAGACCATTGATTGCTTGGTAGTACTAGCCGCTACAGCAAGAATATGCCTACTAACTACTTAACTGCCCTAAGCAAGCCTAGTCAGATGAATTTCTCAATTTTGAAAATTGCTAATAATGGAAATTCTATAATTTTCCTTTGTAAATGGCCCTACTGATTCATAATCTTTAGTCAGATAATTCTTTTTGATGGCCACATTAAGCTTCTCATTACAATACAAATCAATTGCCTAAATACAAAATAACAGGTCAATCTACTATAAAGCCAACCAGTGAAATTATGATCCATCCATTAACAAAATAAGCAACTGGGTCATAAGTGGAGCAACAATCACAGCTTTACAATCCCAGCAATCCTAAACTAAGCAAAAACAGGCAAAGCTAAAGGGAAAGGTCAAACTGTGGCATAAACGGCAGGATGTAACAAACCAAGTACCAAAGAGGGATGAGAATATAAGCCAGCCACATTTTTAATACTTCTGGCCTAAGTCATTCATCTATCCACAGATCCACAGTAGCCCTAAAGAATTTAGGAGGTGAGAGAACGCTCAAAGAAGCATGACACTCCCAAGAACCACAAAAACAAAACCCATTATCAACAAAGAGTCCTTAAAGCAAAAAGAAGAAACTTGGGCCCAGAGATGAGAAGATGAGAAGAGACTTTCTAGATTACCTGGAAAGCCAAAAGCTGAGGATAGTGCAACCTATTTTCGCAACATCAGGCAATAAGTCACTCTTGACCTAGGACGTTTTAAAGACTTTAATCTTTTCAAACATCCTATGGTATCCTCATTTTCACAGAAAACTATGTCTTAGAGAAGTTAAGTGATTTCCTCATAGACCTCACAGTATTTCCCAAACTCACTTGGATCCAAACCTTATGGAAATGTCTATACAGACATGCTAAACAAATTCCAACAATCAGAGGCAATTAGGAAAGATTTCATAAGGGAGATTAAGTTGTGACCGGGGATCTCAAAGGATACTTAGGATTCTGCTGGTAAAGGAGAAATACTACAAACAAAAAGCATTAGGAAGAAATAAATGCTCAAGACAGATATTTGAAGGACTGTGAAGAGACATACAAAGCAGAAGAAATATGTGAATAGGGTAATAATGAAAAACAGGGCTGGAAAAAATGGGAAGCAAATTGCAGTGCACCTTGAATGTCTGGCTCAGTTTTTACAAATTCTAGTCAAGTTATAGAAGTCCCAAAAATGATTCCCTCTTTATATGCATGCTGCCAAGACCCATGAATCAGGTAAATAAACTTACACAGATTTCATTTCCTTCACAAAGACCTCTTTTTCTTGGGGATGTCCCACAGCTAGATTCCTGAGCTAGAAATTTCAAATCTACAGATATAATTCATTTCAAAGAGTAAGAATCAAAAGGAAAATGAGAAAATAGACTTAGAGTGAGAACTAATCACTCCCTTGTAAAGCTTCCTTAAAGCCTCTTTTCCATAAAATGAGAAAAATGATTTACTAGCCCTATTACATGCCAAGAAATTTACATATGTTATCTCTAATCCTCTAACAAACTTTCCAAGTAAGAATTATTCCTATTTTAAACAAAACTTGCCTAAAGTCATTTAGCCTGCAACAGCAGGATTGATATTTAAACCTAAAGCCAAGGAGGGTGAGGGGGGGTGTGTGTGTGTCTGTGTCTGTGTCTGTGTCTGTGGCGCGGGGAGCGGGGTGTCTGTCTGTCTACAGAGAACTTACCACACAACAGCTTTACATAGAAGCTACAGTTTAAAAAAGTAAAAGCCAATGAACCTAGCTGATACTCACTCTGCCATATCCCTTAAAACATGCAGAAAGCAGCACAATTTCTCTTCATTACATGAAGAGCTTTCTTGCCCAAACATGCTTGCCACCAAGCATCTAGAGAAGGCTGTAGCCAAGCATGAAGCCACTACAAACCTGCAAATCTTCCCTGAAGAAACCACCAGGCCTCAGCAGAGAGGCAAATGCCTGTTTTCATAGTTGCTTTCATAAAACAGTTATTCAGAATTTAGCCAAACTTAGCAAACATGAAAACACAGTTCTGTTTTCTTTTATTGGAGAAGGAAGAAGATACGTATTACAAAATCTCCTGAGAACAAATATTTGCAAATTGTAAATCTGACGAAGAATATGTACCCAGAATATATAAAGAATCCTTACAATTCAATAAGAAGAAAAACCAAGTAAAAAGTGGGCAAAAGACCTGAATAGACATCTCACCAAAGCAAACATGAGTGGCTAATAAGCACACGAAAAAGTACCTACCTAATTATTAGGGAAGTGCAAATTAAACCACAATGGGCTATTACCATACACTCACTGTAACAAAAAAAGTTAGATAAAACCAAGCCACTTTGGAAAATAGTCTGCAGTTTCTTTAAATGTTATGCATGAGGCTAGGCATGGTGTCTCAAGCCTGTAATACCAGCTACACAGGGAGGCTGAAACAGGAGGATCACTTGAGGCAGGAGTTCAAAGCTAAATTGAACTACAATTGCACCACCACATTCCAGCATTGGCGACCTCATTTCTCTTATTATTATTTTATTTTAGTATTTCTAGTAGAAATGGGGTTTCAATGGATTAACTAGGCTGGTTTCTAACTCCTGGCCTCAAGTAATCCACTTGCCTCAGCCTCCCAAAGTGCTGGGATTACAGGCATGAGTCACCACACCCGGCTTCCTTTCTCTTAAAAAGAAGAAGCTATGCATGAGAAAATTGCCTCAGTAATTCCACTCCTAGAAATCTACCCAAGAGGAATTAAAACATGTCAACACACAGATTTGCACATAATTGTTCATATCAGCACTATTCATAATAGCCAACTGGAAACAATACAAATATCTATCAACTGGTAAATAAACAAAAGGTAATACATCCCTACAATAAAATATTATTTAGCAATAAAATGATACAGTGACACATACTACAACCTAGATGAACCTCAAAAACATTATGCTAATTATAACAAATCACATGCCAAAGACTACATATATCATATAATTCTATTTATATAAAAATTCCAAAATAAACTTTTTTTTTTTTTTTTTTTTTTTTTTTGAGACCGGGTCTTACTGTGTTGCCCAGGCTGGTCCTGAACTCCTGGGCTCAAGTGATCCTCCTGACTCGGGCTTCCAAAGTGCCGGGATACAGGCGTGACCCACAACGCCCTGCCCAAAAGGGACAATTTTATAAGTCAGAAAGCAGAGCAGTGGTTGCTAGAGGGGAGAGAGAGGATTGGAGAGGGAGCAAGGAATGATTACAAAAGAATCTGAAAGAATTTAGAGGAATGATAGAAATGTACTAAAACTGGCCTGTGGCACAACTCTATATATTTACCAAATATCACTGAACAAATCTCTTATATTGAATAAATTTTAGGTATAAAAATGACATCTTAATAGAACTTCTTTTATTTTTGGAGACAGAGTCTTGCTCTGTCACCCAGGCTTGCAGTGGTGTGATCTCGGCTCACTGCAACCTCCGCCTCCTAGGTTTAAGCGATTTGCATGCCTCAACTCCTCAATAGCTGGGATTACAGGCACCTGCCACCACGCCCTGCTAACTTTTGTATTTTTAGTAGGGACGGGGTTTCCCCATGTTGGCCAGGCTGGTTTTGAGCTCCTGACCTCAAGTGATCCCCCTGCCTCAGCCTCCCAAAATCCTGGGATTACAGGCATGAGACACTGTGTGCAGCCATACAGCTTTTTAAAAAGCAATTGCCAAATACAAATTTATATTAATTTTTTCTATATATTTAGTAACTCCGGAAACAGATACGTAAGAGAAAGTAATAATATTTTGTTTGGATATAAAATATTTAAATAGTCATAATAAAATTATGTATTCATAAATCAATAATGATTTGACTAAAAAAATGGCTTTATTAGAAGGAAAGAGGGGGTCTATAAAACTGCTAATTTCTGGCCAGGCACAGTGGCTCATGCCTATAATCCCAGCACTTTGGGAGGTTAAAGCAGGCAGATTCCTTAAGGTCAGGAGTTCCAGATCAGCCTGGCCAACATGGAGAAACCCCGTCTCTACTAAAAATACAAAAATTAGTTGGGTTTGGTGGCATGCACCTGTAATTCCAGCTACTTGGGAGGCTGAGGCATGAGACTCACTTGAACCCAGGAGGCAGGGGTTGCAGTGAGCCAAGATTGCACCATTGCATTCCAGCCTGGGCAATAGAGCGAGACTCTGTCTCAAAAAATAAAAATAAAATAATACCGCTAATTTATTATCTTCAACAGTAGGAAGCCGAAGAATAGTGCCAAAAATCGGACAAATCAAGCAACAGCAGAATAAGCATATTATTTAGCACGGCAGTGAGCAGCAAAAGAAATAAAATGGTCCTTCCCAGTAGTGAAAAGATTTTGAACAGTTTGCAAAATGAAATGATTAAAAATGTAATAGTAAAGTTGATTACATGGATCAAGAAAAGTGCTACAAGAACGCTAGACACTATAGAGCATATACCAGGCCTTCATCCACTAGAGGGTGTTAAGGACAACAAACGCCACAGAAGGACCTAAACTACTGATAGGTGACTTGAGGTCAGATGTTGGAGAGAAGCAACCGTTTGAAAAAGCTTTGCACAAAGGCTAAAAGTGGAGTTCTAGACAACCTAATAGTAAGAAAAGCAGCAATTTCCCATCTCCTGTAATTTAAGAGCAAAGCAAAAGCATGTTTGGTTAAGAAAAAAAGAGGATCAGAAAGAAAATTATTATAGATTATAGATACAGAAGCAGTAACATTTAACTTCTGAACCAGTCATTTTAATCCAGTCTCCAGCTGGGGGGCCTTAGAGCTTGGGTGGAGAGATGGAAAGTAGGGGTGTGGCTGCTAAAAGGTATGGGGTTTCTTGTGTCCAGGCACAGAGGCTTACACCTGTAATCCCACCACTTTGGGAGGTTGATGCGTGTGGATCACCTGAACTCAGGAGGTCAAGACCAACCTGGGCAACATGGTGAAAGCCCATCTCTACCAAAAATACAAAAATTAGCTGGACATGGAGGTGCACACCTGTGGTCCCAGCTACTCAGGAGGCTGAGGTGGGAGGATTGCTTGAGCCTGGGAGACGATGGTTGCAATGAGCAGAGATTGCGCCACTGTATTCCAGCCTAGGTGACAAAGTGAGATCCCATCTAAAAAAATTAAGGTATGGGGTTTCTTTAAGGCTGCATTTTTAAGGACAGTAAGTATTAGAATAATGTTTTTCAAACAGGTTGCAATCCGATAATGGGTCAAGGAAAAATCCAGCAGAGATCAATTTTGGTCAATCATTGGTCACAATCGATAATTTTTTGAATGGGACACAATATACCCCAGTACTTAGAACATGGTAAAGACAAGCGGCATTTGGCAAGACTAATTCTAAGTTATAGTCAACATATACATATGTATGTGTACTGGGTCATGACATAAAAGCTACTGCTTCCTTAGGATCACAGTCTTTTTTTAAGCTCAAAAGCACAAAGCAAGAATCTGAACACCCTTACCATATCCTCCATTCCACCGCTATCCCCGAAGGAAGAAAAGTAGTCATCATTTCTTCAGCCAAGCCAAATGAGTACTATAGAAGATGCATTTGCTGTTGTCCACGGTTCCCAATAAAAATAACTAAAAGCCTTGAAATTTCATTGTAAAAATTTGACTAAAATAAAGTTCGTTTTCTACCCATGAAAAAAAACTGATTAGAAAAAAGAAAAAAATTCTTCAGGAAGGAAAATACTTTTTAAGAAAAAAACTCTCAGGTCATTTAAAATTTATCCTCTATATTAAAAGTAGGTCTGCCACTCTGTTATATTTGTCAACTTATGCATCTCCTTTAACGTTCCCACTTATTTCTGCTAATCAATGGAACATATCCACATTGTGTCTTTCAACAGAATTTTAGAAAATTGAAGAAAAAATTATAATTTTGAGAAGTCACTGACAAGCATTTTTTAAGAATGGGCCTGGCGTGGTGGCTCATATCTGTAATTCTGGCACTTTGAGAGGCCGAGGTGAACGGAGCACCTAAGGTCAGGAGTTTGAGACCAGCCTGGCCAACATGGTGAAACCCCACCTCTACTAAAAATAGAAAAATTAGCCAGGCTTGGTGGCACATGTCTGTAATCCCAGCTACTCAGGAGGCTGAGGCAGAAGAATCACTTGAACCCGGGAGACAGATGTTGCAGTGAGCCAAGATCGTGCCACTGCACTCCAGCCTAGGCGACTGTCTCAAAAAAAAAAAAAAAAAAAAAAAAAACCAAATCAAAGAATGACCACATGACATTTTTTCTTTTTATTTAAAATACAAACAGATAAAGTTTAGATCATAAGCCATTTTAACAAACCAGATAGAGAGAAAACTTGACAGAAATAGGTTATTCAAGGGACTTTCAGGTCACACGTAGACTTCATGCTGCTATATACGCAAAGATTTCAGAATATCTTATCTTGTCACACCAGCAAAAGAACATTCATATTCAGAGAGGCACTGACAGAAAAATACAAAAGGGAAATACAAGACACGGAGGCTGAAAATTGGGATTCAAGTCCAATTCTTCACTTACCACCTGTGTAATTAAGACTGGGAGGCTGATTTGACAGTCTCTGTGCTTTGGTGTTCTTATCTATAAAACAAGGATAATAAAGCCCAACCTACCTGACTGAACTATTGTGAAGATCGAAACTGATATACACAGGAGTGTTTTGTAAACTGTAAGGTACTTAACAGATATCAGTTGGGTTTTTTGTGTACCAAAACTATATACATTTTTATTCATCAATTAATAAACAAAATAGAGCACTATAGCTTAAATAATTTTTAATGATGAAATAATGAAAGCTTTCCCCAGCAGAAACAAGGCAAAAGCATTCTCTCTCACCACTCCTAACCCACATAATATTTGCAATTCTAGCCAGTGCAATAAGACAGGAAAAATAATTAAAGGGTGTACTTATTCATAAGGAAGAAATAAAACAGTTTATAACCACAGGTGTAAACATTAGGGCTTTCTTGGTTTTTTGTTGTTGTTGCTGAGATAGAGTGTCGCTTTGTTGCCCAGGCTGGAGTGCAGTGGCATGATCTCGGCTCACTGCAGCCTCCACCTCCTGGGTTCCAGCAATTCTCCTGCCTCAGCCTCCAGAGTAAGTAGTTGGGATTACAGGAGTGCGCCACCATTCCCAGATTTTTTTTTTTTTTTTTTTTTTTTTTTTTTTTTTTGAGCTGGAGTCTTGCTCTGTCTCCTAGGCTTGAGTACAGTGGTGCGATCTCAGCTCACTGCAATCTCCACCTCTGAGGTTCAAGTGATTCTCCTGCCTCAGCCTCAGGAGTAGCTGGGACTACAGGCACACACCACCACACTTGGCTAATTTTTTGTATTTTTAGCAGAGACAAGGTTTCACCATGTTGCCCAGGCTGGTGTCGAACTCCTGAGCTCAGGCAATCTGACCACCTTGGCCTCCCAAAATACTGGGATTACAGGCATGAGCCACCGTGCCCAGCTGATATAGGTTTTTATAATTTACTAATATTCCTAGTCCTGTAGGTGACCCCGAACCTGAAACCAAGCAGAATTCTGTACTCTCTTTAATCTCAAATGTTAAGGGTAATGTTTCACTCCCATACAATTCAAGCTTTGAACACTGCAATGTGCCACAATTTAGGGTTCTAATAAAAAAGGACTACACTGAGATACTACTATCAGTACTATTTTCAACACTTAGTTTTCCAAGTATCCCCACTGCTGAACATCCCTTACTTGGTTAGACCACCCCAATGAAGCAAAACAAATTATCTCTAGTTTGCGTGTATCTGCTCTAATCCTCTTCCCTACCCATCCCCCAAACTGAGTTGACTCTAAAACCAGAAAACAAAATTTAGCCAAGTAGCCACTAAGGAGATACAAAGTTGATGAAACAAAAGTAAGTCTTCCCTATGGCTGATTAAAGTATAAGCTCTTTTAATCAATTAAAATTGGTTAAATTAACTAATGTTCTCCAGTTCCTAAGTCTAATAAAGGAAAGCTTTTAGCATTCTTAGACCACCTAAAACTAGTAAACAACTCTCTCCTATTCACCCCCAAACACTTTTAATTTTTATTTTAAAATTTAAAATATTTCCCCACTTCAATCAATTGTTTAGATTAACCCGTGGCCTACTAGTTCTGGTCACATTGGTTAAGAAAACACTGACTGTATTTCTTTAATTATAGAAGGATGCCCATACATCCCGGTTTACCTGGAACTGTTTGAAACTAATTATTGGCATCACGTTTTATTCTCAAAAGTGCCCAAACTTGAATGCTAAAGTTTATATGGTCATCTTATTTATAGCAGACATAAAGTTGTTGCACCAAGAAAGAGTGAGGGGCTAGCCTTAGGACCCCCATCACTTTCCAGGAAATCCAGCCATCCCATATAAACAATCTTAGCAAAAACAGTAAGCTTGCTGTACAGAACAAAGCCCTCTTCTAATCAGATTGCTGCTCTTAAGCTCTTCTTATATAAAAACCCTAGAGCTCATGTACACAAGTATTCTCCTACTTTAAAAATACTGCAAATCCATGAAACATTCTAGCCTTAATCAAAGCCTAGGAACACTCCTAAGCACATGCACATAAATCACAAAGAAACAGTCAACTAGGAATCTAAACTACTCCACGGTATCATCAATCTAAAATCCTGCCTGGTCTTATTTATTTATTCATTTATTTTTCAGACAGGGTCTTGCTCTGTCACCCAGGCTGGAGTGCAGTGGCACAATCATAGCTCACTGCAGCCTCAATCTCACAGGCTCAAGCAATCCTTCCACTTCAGGCTCCCAAGTGGCTGGGACTACAGGCACACACCACCACATCTGGCTGATTTGTTTTTATTTTTAGTAGAGACAAGGTCTTGCTACGTTGCCCAGGCTGGTCTCCAACTCCTGAGCTCAAACAATCCTCCCACCTTGGCCTCCCAAAGTATTGCAGCACTTGGCCCTGCATGGCCTTAGATAAAATTTCTCACTTTTCTGAACTAGTTTTCACTTAGGCAAAACTAGAACAATGTTTGTCTCCTCCACTTCTATAGAGAAACCACCACATTAGCAAGTATGGTGAAATGCTTAGAATGCTTTATAAAAGCAATGAATTGTCATCCCATAAAGCTTCTTAATAGATCAGGAAAGAAGGCTGAGGTTACCTTGCATAA